AATCTATTTGCCTCTAGTCCCATAAAGGTGCGCACATTCACACAAACAATATACAGAATATATCGTGAAATATAAACTTGTAAGCATTTAAGTGAGAATTATCTAAAAAGCAAATACATACACGTTTTCTTTAGGGAAACTGATACGCATATTGTGATGTAAGTGCCCCTCATATCCCTACACAAAGGCCATGCCGCAGTGGATGTATTGACAACTTCATTATACGCTGTGTGTTCAGACATCTCCACCTAAAAGGAAACGTGTCCTGGTACATTTCATCTTGCAATGTACATCCCTTATCTGTCAATCTGAAATCACCGCCAACTTTATCTCTCAAATCAACCATGATCCATCATCACAATTCCCCCATCACGGCAGTTTTCGCTTCTGAATTTTACACAACTCATTAGCAGTCTTTACGTTCAAATTAGCATGAAGTGATGTGAAAATGAAAACCCACACTATCAAAGACATTTCTGGTACACGTTTCACATAGCCACCACAGCATACTATTTCCTATTCACAGCAGATAAATTCGCCAAACACAATTGTTTCGTATAATTTCCAAAGCCAATAAACTCCGATCTCGTAAACAGCGTTGCTTGATGTGTTTATGCTCTTGTGAAACTTGCATCTAAATATCAGCTGATTGATTGGCGTGTATTGCAGTGTTCTTTGACATGAACGAAGAGCAATAAGCACCGGACAGGAGCATTATCTTATGTCTGTTTTATTTGTTCGCCTGATTACAAGTTAGCCGTGTTTATTGCCAATAAAAACGTTTGCTTTGGTTCACTCGATTCAAGCATGATGATAAATGGAATAATTGGCGTTAGTATGAGAGAACAGCGTGCCATCGATCCTTGATGGAGAGACATAACGTTTTGTCATGAATTGTCAGTTGGTCAATGAGTTCGTTTTTACTCCTTCATTCATCCATTCATATTTCCGTTTGTCTTTCAATCCAATCCATCTATTCATCCCGTTCACAATTCATTTGTTCGTACATAAACATCATCCAGTTATTTTATCGTTCGTTCATTCTGTCGTGCATTCATTTAGATATACAATTACATAAATGATAAAATCATCTCTGAGTCACCCTTTTTTATCAATAAAGATGTGTTGATAAAACGATAAAATAAATACCCCAGATTTATTATCAGTGCAGGGTAAACAAGGTTGTATTCAAGTATTCAACAATCTTACACAAACTTCATTCGCGGATTAACACACTTTTCAAATACTCGCTTGGAATAAACACGTCATCTAACCGAAATTTCCCATTTGTGTGTATGATTATTCAAACATTGATAGCGATGTTAACCTCGTTAATCATCCACGTTAGGTAAACAAACCATGAATGACACCACGTTATTGCTTCTACCAAACCGTAAAAAGTACACACATTGTCATGTATGTGATACCGTTATATTGTTGTCGCATTCAGTAGACTGTTTACATGTTTGTTTGCTCTGCAAGAATAGAGAGTAGCGTTCCGCCACCAATGCCTATTTGTAGGTCGTTTATGGAGATCAAATATGTTCTCACCCATAAAATCACTGTTCACTTATTAAGTTAGTCCATAACTTGCATCTATCTATGCAGGATACGGGGGCAGTTTACTTAGCAGATCCGCTTGGTTTCTGTCGCCGGGTTATTGTGTAGGCATTTGAATTGCCACGTCAAACAGAGGTAGTTTCATTCAACCTGTTGAAGCAATAAAGTGGCCTTTTTGCCCTATAATGTTAATGTTCCAATAGGTCCGATTTGTTATTTGCTCAGATAGTTTATTTAGGAAGGAAGGCAAATAGTAATAAACTATCCTGTTGTTGGGTTTGGCTGACAGGGACAATCCCCATTGCAGCGTACAGACACATACATATACTCTATGTAATAGACAGCAGGTAGTAAACATAAGCACCGTTATAGGCTACGATCTGTGCTGATATGAACAGTGTAAACATAGAAATAGACATGGAGTGGTTTGACATGTACATCGCTAGGGCTGAATAGATCAGATACTTAATGATAAAGGACTATAGAGTGCATGGTTTCCTTGGTCGGAATTATAATGTGGGTAACACTATTCATGTAACAAGAACATGTGTGACCCTATTTTTGTCGCATTATAAATTAAATTTCTCGCCCTGAGATATATGACAGTTTCGGGGTTGTTAGGTGTAAATGGAGACCACAAAAAAGGTGTGGAGTGTATTGGTTCATATGGTACAAAACCGATAGATATACATTGAACATTGTAATTTAATCGTACGAAAGACGATTGGTAGGGAATTTTATTTTATTCTCTCGTGTGTTTAATTACGGATGTAAGGCGGTCAGAGACAGGTCCAGTTTGGGAAAAAACAAACCAGTGGTTGACAGCATGAGCATCTACCCGGGCGATAGGTAGTGGATGTTAGTTTGCTCTATAGTCCGCATCATTACTGATATGTCAAAGCGGTCTGTGACACGACGAATCTGGACCAGGCAAACCAGTGGTCGACAGCATGAGCAACGGTCCAGCTGAGTGAGTGAGTGAGTGACGTTTACCACTTCGATGAAACCCACTTGCACAGGTATTGTCCTGACAAACCAAGGATCATAATCAGGAATACTCTCGGATTCGAACCTTCACTGGGAAGAAGCATGCCGAGAAACATGTTACCGTATAATACACAATCCAATATAAAGTGGTGTATCCATGGCTGCCTTTGAATGTTATCATTAGGAAGTTACAATCTTTAGTTCGGATGCAATTTGGGATAACAACTTAACGTCGAGGTATAGAAAATCATCGTCCTAGACAAGGAATTCGGGATTTTTGTGGTCATTTTCTATTTGTTTTATTTTTATAGTGAGTGAGTATGGCTTTACGCCGCTTTTAGCAATATTCCAGCAATATCGCGACGGGGGACACCAGAAATGGGCTTCACACATTCTACCCATGTCGGGAATCGAATCCGGGTCTCCGGCGTGACGAGCGAACGCTTAACCATTAGGGTTATACAAGTCATAAAACTACATGTTATCATCATAATACAATTGGTTAACCAAACACAATGGTGAACAGGAAAATCTCACATATACCATACACCAACATTAAATATTCACCTAAAATATGTTATGCCTATTGTTAAAAAGAAACCGTTGACTAAATGAAATAAAACATTGAAAATGAAAAACCTAAATACGATCTTAGATTTGGAAATTTTAGCTCCATAAACATGTGTCTACAAGTAATGAATTGCAGTCTCAAGGGTTAATTCCCCACCGTTAAATCACCATCATAAAACATAAAGTACTCTGCCTGTGACTTACTTAGAGTTTAATATGGCCCCGCATTTATTGACAGGCTATTGACAAGCAATGTACGACGATATCGAGGTGAATGACACCTGCTGATTGCGCAGAACAAAGAAATCTACATCTGCAATTAATTAGCGTGGGTTTATACATCACAGACGTGTCAGGTCCAGGACTACACGTGAGTGCCTAGCAGTTGTTAAGCAGTGAACGACCTTGTCGGGTACCTTGTAAAGATGTCAGCGAGGCTTGATAGGACGATGGGCTTATCAGCAAGATAGACCTGTAATGAATATTGCGATGGTTTATGTGAAATGTGATAAGCATAATTATATTATTTACTACTTTATTGTTTTATACAATAAAATTATAACAAACAAAACACAAAGTTTAATGGATGATCTGTTTTTGTTGTGCTGATGAAAGATTCAGAAGTTGTCTACACGGGTTGATATTTTCATGTGCATAAATTCGACTTGTCATGAAAATCTCGAGATATGAGTGTCGTATATCACGATGATAGTGTCCTATACAGCAAGGTGGAGACTTGTGAAGGCTATACCCCACCGCCAGCCATATTACAGATAGATCACCCCACCCCCGCCCCCGCCATGAGGATTCTGGGTTTGAACCGGGACCCGTTCCACAAAGCGATCTTAGCGCTAAGGTGATCGTAACTGTCTTACATACGATCGTCGTAGCGCTCAGATCGCTTTGAGGAACTGGTCCAAGGGCCCGGCAACCTATGCGGCGACTGTGGATCGGGTGGTCAGGTTTAGGGACTTGGTAATTGCGCGTCATCGTTTCCCGACGTCGTAGGGCGTTGCTCATAATATCAATCACTGGTCCAGACCGCCGTTGGTATGATCACAGTATCTCGTTGTTTACAAATACCCCGTATTAACACAATGGTTATGGTTTAATCACCAGATAAATGCTCGATCCGGCAGTTGCCGACACTTAGTGTCCCCCTGATTGATTGTGTACATATCGAAGTGAAATATACAATTGTTGTCATTTATCTAGAAATGACCCGTCTTACATAAATTGATTAATTTAGCCCGAGTGTGTTTGAATTTATCACTTCTTGCTTTTTTAAATTGCGTTGTTTCTCATGATGACAAGATGTTACAAATATATGTATATTTCATCACGACATATTATTGCGAGTTGACAAAAATTATTACTTCATAAATACCCCACCATCGAATATTAACAAGAACACATTATCTACATTCGAAAGTGCCTTGAATATGTTCGTTATGCATATATTTACTATGAATTAAATTAGTCTCAAATTTTGCACTCTAGTCCAAGCCTGTATTTCGGGATGACTTTCTATTTTCCGAGCGAAAAACGAAAATAGCGAAAATGTTTAACCGTAAGTTTATATGGGTAGGTTTTAGCAGCCCAGTTGCTATTTACAACAGAATTAATTGACACCTTCGGTAATATTTGGTATGCATTGCTTTAACGCTGGCTATAAGTGTTAGTATATTTTAAAAGAGATGATTCTTTTATCAAAACACTTATACGCGCATTCTGATTGGGTTGTCGTGCTTTACTGAAGATTACATGGATTGACAGTGAGATGGTTACAGACAGACAGTTGTTTATTTATGTCTCACGTCTGTACAACATGTACATTTTATTTTTATATTTATTAATGAAAGTGTTTCTTTTGCTATTTGCAGCCTCGATTCAGTCCGCGTCAGGCTCGCCGTTGAACCATGGAATTACGTCACTGGGATGGAGGTGTTGAAATGAAGCACGGTCGTAAAATGCTGTAAAAACATCATTGTATGTACATATACAAGTTGTAGATTTCAGTTACGCTGATAAGAAGGTGGCAGATCATTTATTGTCTAATTACGTCGGTTATACGGGTAATGGTTGTTTTGTAATTAGAATAATAGGCAAATCACAAGTGCAAATTGGTTGAACAAACTGGCAATCGTTTACATTCAGCGCCGTAATGATCTTAATTGCTTGCAGGTAGCTATAAGACAACAGGCGACCCTGTACTCTGACAAGATCAAATAGGCATCTATATAACAAAATATACATTGTAATTGATGAATCATTAGAAACGTATATCTATTACCTTATTTCTTACAAAAGAAAAAAATGTCTTGCGTTTACCGACTACGCCTATAATCAACTATATTGTACGTATTTCTTGTCTTTGATGTGTGACTCGCAAAAAACCCTTCTCTCTCACCAGTTATCAATAAATTATATTATTCTGCTTTAATACTTTATTTGTACTTCTATATTTTATTGTTAGTGAGTATTTCAGAAAATCTTCAAATTCATCGAAAATGCAATCTTTAGAGGAGATGTTTTCCATAGATAGTTTTCACATAAGCTGAATAAGGAATGAACAGTTTCAAGATAAAAGGACATTTTTAAAATGACATCAGGTAAAATCAGTTGAACATTTTGTCGTATGGAATAACCGATTTCGTTACCGAGAAATGCAGGCAAGTAATCAAACTGAAGTTACCATGTGAATATACTAACTTCTCTCCCGCTCGCTATAAAGGATCAATGGGCCTCGCCTCGGGCTTTGAGAAACTTTTAAATGTAAATCCTCCTTCTTGGTAAGAACGCAGTATGGATGTTGCGTCACGACCACAGTTTGGAAACGCCCATCCATTCAATGGATGCTTTAGAAAACATTTGATAATGACTAACAGATTTCTTTACTGTCTACCCGCATGCACTTTTGCCATCAGTGTACCCAAAACACCCGGAATAGATACACATTGATGTAACCTCACCGCAACATATTTAGTGCCTTTGATAGTTTGTGTACAGCTATAGTAAACTCACATGTGTGCAAGTTTTTACAACTTTCTTGTCACTTTATTCTATTTGATAGGTTGTGTTGAAGTATTAAACGTAATTATATCACAGGATCAGACAATTTAAGGGATTTGTCATAAGAGGACGGTTTGGAGCGCGGGAGGTAATAGCAAGTCGATTTAATTCTGATGTAAACATTATCATCCCCCACAACGAAATGGAAGGGGGAGGAGGGGGGTGGGGGGTGTTATAGGAATGGGTGCTGTCCGTCCGTCACGTTTCGGTAGCAGAACTCAAACGCCATGAAATCTTAATCAAACTTGGCACATAGATAGGTCGAATGGTGAACTGGTGCCTTTTGTTAGTTTTGGATTTCCGAAAAAGATTCTTTTTCGAGTTTCCACGGCAACGATTTTGACTTAGACTGAAAATGGCGTTAGTGCTCTTTTCCGGAGCAGATCTTGAAAACCGTAAATAATTTTGCCTTGCACACAACCGGACATGTCATATTGGCAGGGGATATGAGTGTTTCATGCTTGTTTCAGTTATATGACGGTGTGGTCAGCTTAGTGTGGGAGGGAAGCCAAATGTCGCATACGTACATGTTTATCGAAACTGGCAGGTACACTTATATGGATGTTGATGAAAGTGTGTGTTTATCGTGTACTGAACACATTGAGGATGAGAGACACGTACTGTTACACTGCCCTTGTATGGTGATCTGCGTGAAGGGGGCACGGGTGGCCCAGTCGTCTAAGGCGCCGCGATTCGCTGTGCAGAGTTGCGTCCCTTGGGCACGCCAGAAACCTATGATTGTGGGTTCGAATCCCGGTTCGCCCCGATTATGTTTCTAGGTTTGTCAGCACCATACCCGTGCTCGTGGGTTTCACCGAAGTGGTAAACGTCTAAGACCTGCATCGCTCGGGCTTTCTTCCCACATTAAGCTGACACGCCGTGATATAACTGGAATATTGTTAAAAGCGGCGTTAAACCGAACTTACTTACTCTGCGTGAAATCATGTATAGAAGTGTCAGCTTCAGCTGTCCGAATTGTTTCGATTTGTGTGACCAAGATAAATTATTGTACTTTTTAAACACAATGCATATTACACTGCCAAAACCTGCTTTTTAATTCCGTAACGCTGAACACATGTTTTATATAGTTACTGCTATTTAATCTGTCATGTATTATACATATTTAAGTTTATATAATTTTACTGACTTTTACGTCTCTCATAACTCAGTGAGAGTGGCTCAAAACACTGTATACATTATGTATTATAACATTGTATTTTGAAGGACTGATGGAGGTGAGAGACGAGAATAACAATGTCTTTGGTGAAACCTATGAGCACGAACATGGAGCTGACAGACCTAAAAACATAACTGAGAATCGAACCCACAATCATAGGTTTCTGGCGTACTCAAGGGAAATCACAGGTTTCTGGCGTATTCAAGGGACGCAACTCTGCACAGTGAATTGCGGAGCCTTAGACGACGGGGCCACCCGTGCCCCCAGCTTAAGATTGATGGAGGTCACAATTCATCAATAGTGATATCACACGATGAAGGGCAAGACTCGGAAAACGTTAAGTGTATAAAAAATTATAGTCAATAATGTCTTTTTACGAAAATAAATTGTTGGGTAATTCAAGGTAAATATGTGCCGCAGCTGTATGAGTTTCCTCATCACTGTGTGCACAAAGAAGCATCCTCTACGAAATGACGTCGTAGATGTCGTTTGTGTTGAGAGTGTTTTTGTAGTTGAAACGAGGAAACAACGTATGTTTTCCTCTGCATCAAATATTATCAACTATCAATTAATTATAAACGTCCAAAACATTTGAACCGTTGATACTGATATCCCTGCTCACAATATAGTCATGTTAATGTTTATCCTGCTTGAAATGATTTGCCCAATTGTGAGAAAACCTAACAGATTCAATAGTTCACAAAATAAACTTTTTTGTTTAAACATTTGTTTATCCGATTGAAATGATAACAGTCTCATTCGATTTTCCCACTTCGTTTTCACATCCTGTTCAACTGATAAACTATAAAGTACATGCACGAGAGATAGCGATCTCTTATCTATGACATATGACGAGGACACTGTCTAAACAATCAACAACACAAATCGAAAATAAAAACGTCACCCTGTCCATTATCATAAGAAATCTCTTGTACGATTCTGTCTATATCATGAGCATGTGTTTATGAATCACCCTCAAATACTGCTGATACCAGGTGTTCGCGAAAAGGTGTGCGTATGGCAACCGTCATAAACACATGCAAAGGTAAGTCAATTGTTCACCTGAAATAAACCCCACGGGAACATATGGTACAAGTCAAAATAGGGAATTGGATCGGACATAATTTTGGTCACTGATGCCTCAAATTTGGTAATGTCCTCCACATGTCTATCATAACACTGTTTGAAAGCTTTGCTCTGGCCTTAAATGTTGCAACCCTGTGTGGCGCTCTTTGAACTTTTCGTAGATAGAGCATGCACAATTGTGCCTCTAAAGTTGTGATTTTTTTGCACGAAAGTCGAGCTTAATACCAAACTGCGCCAACGAATCATTATTAAAATAACACCAGGTGTTCAATAGCAGGTGACTATGTCCTGCTGTGTACGTTCAGATCACTGTATTGCTGGATAATTAAACCCCAACAAACTTTAAAATACAAGAAAAAATCCCGATGATGTCATTCTGGATAATAACATCAATACATAAGTTCTGCAGGCTAATGTTTATCCCTCTGCAATCGGAGACAAAAATGGTTCTGAACTCTGGAAGGCGTCGGGTTCAAGAACGCCCTGTGTAATCAAAGCGTCCGATGCGCCTGTATACAGTCACATCCTCATCTATGTAACAGTTTTCATGTAACGGGGTATTGAATTGACAAACGTCACAATAAAAGAACATACGCGGATCATTAAACTGACAATGGTGACCAGATGTTTGTCAATTGGTGCCCTTCCTTCCACTGTCGACCCGTATTCCCGAAGGTCGTTTTAGCGTTTGGTTTTATATAACGATTTTGGTCACATATTGCGTTATGAAATTGATCTAATGTATAAGTTGGAAACTCATCGTTTATAAAGTCTCGTTTCCGCATCAGCAATTCACAAAGACCCAAAGAGGAAAAGGAAAACAGGGACGCAAATTGTATTGTGTACCCCCAGCTGACTGATATTTATACAAACGCGCACTCTTTCACTGGTCGAGTATTTTTGTAATATATTGAAACGCCAAAGTTTCAAAACCGGCTAAATTCTTTTTTATAATTGTTTCTGTTACAGTTTGTGGTTTGAGGATGGTAAGAATTGAGTTGAAATGTGGTGTAACGTCGCGTCCAAGATTATCGCACTTATATAGCGACATGCATGCACACGTGTGTGTGGCTGCTTGTACTAGTCCGGACTGATGCCGATTTATAGTGTTTGACCACTGAGGTACCATGCCACAGTTTAACATGAATACCCCACTCAGACACAGTAAACTGACTCCGAGCCGACAAGTCCTTGTTTCAGCCCCTTAAATACCATCTTTTAACGCCTTTTGGTATGACGCGGACGGGGATCGAACTCCGGACCTTCCGCTCTCCGGGCGGACGCTCTACCACTAGACCACGGAGGCGGTCCGAATGGTAAGCACCTCCTATAATGGTAAGCCAAACCCAGCTGGCCCTGAATGTATTATACAGACATACATGTACATGAATGCCGTGTACACATTTATGATCATCTGCAGAGATATATGCTCAGAAATGTTCTGATATGTATTACAAGCATGAATCCCTTTGATACCCTTGTGGTAGATGAATGTGATTTTGTCTGTTGTTTATTTGCCGTAGCCAGTTTAGTTGACTATGAGCTAGCGATATCGCAGTGGCCTGTAAACAATCGAGGGCGGTCGGGTAGCCTAGTGGTTAAAGCGTTCGCACGTCACGCCGAAGACCCGGGTTCGATTCCCGACATGGGTACAATGTGTGAAGCCCCTCACTCACTCACTGTAAACAATCGAGATCGGGTCAGGGAAACCAGTGAATGATAAAATGATAAACGCTGATCGAAGCGGAGAGTGAATGGATGGTGGTCAGATCCCCGGCCGCGTCATACCAAATGATGTTGAACGATGGTACTTGTTGTTACCCTGCCCGCTCGGCATTAAGGGGATAAAAGAAGGCTATCGGCTCAGTATACTATTCATGTCAAACAGGGGCATGGTATCTCAGTGGGCAGCATTAGTCCGGACTAGTACAAGCAGCCACACGGACACACGACACACAGACAGATATGTTTATGATATAGAATCGTAAATTTACTTTTGAATCGTACGGATATTGTCGCCAAATCACGTCGGGGTACATGAATAATTGACCTCACCCCTTGTATCTTTTCGGGCAATAGAAACCCTGTAACGTGACGACCCAACGTTTTAACCACTCGGATATTCGTATAGTAGGTGAGGTGAGGTTAAATTGGGTTTAACGTCGCGTCCAAGATTATTGCACTTATATAGCGACGTGCATGCACGTGTATGTGTGTGGCTGCTTGTACTAGTCCGGACTGATGCCGAGTTATAGTGCTAGCTCACTGAGATACCATGCCGCAGTTTAACATGAATACCCCTCTCAGACACAGTATACTGATTTCGAGCCGACCAGTCCTTGTTTTAGCCCCTTAATGCCGAGCGCCAGACAGGGTAACAACAAGTACAATCTTTTAACGTCTTTTTGTATGACGCGGCCCGGGATCGAACCCTGGACCTTCCGCTCTCCGGGCGGACGCTCTACCACAAGACCACGGAGGCGGTCTAATCGTATAGTAAGAGCAATGTAAGTATATTAAGAGTAGTAGAAATGTGGATATTTTTACCTCAAAACATGCAGTGTTTTTAGATAGATCATTCGTTCGTTCATTTGTTGTTTAACGTCGCACTCAGCAATATTCCAGCTATATGACTGCGGTCTGTAAATAATCGAGTCTGGACCAGACACTTAAGTGACTGACATCATGAGCATCGATCCACGCAATTGGGATATGATGACATGCATCAACCAAGTCAGTGAGCCTGACCACCCGATACCATTAGTCGCCTCTTACGACAGATAAGCATAGTCGGTTGCATGGGTTGCTGAAGACCTATTCTAACCCGGGTCTTCACGTGGCGTTTTTAGTACCAAACTACCCACGGGTATGTCTACCAGACTCTGATTCCATCGGCATCTTTATCCCAACTTTGTATGTGAACAAGGGAACATCAGTGAAAAGATCGCACGTTAAACTAACATATGTGCGGAACTAGACTGCGCTGTTCGTACTTAGAACATCAATGATAAAATAAGTACAACATGTAAGACGCTCTGCTCTAACCTAAGAACAACGGTGACTTTAACAAAACACAGTGTCTTGCTTAACTTACCGGCTCAAGGCAGCACTGTTTTCTCTACTGACAGCCTTATCCTATTCAAACCACTTTTATACTATAAAAATGTACACGTTGAAAGTTAATGCCAATAAACCTATGTTATATTCTTAATATTAATTTACATAACTTCTAAGTAAATCTTTGCTGTTTGCACTAATGTATCTGGATGTAAACAGTAACCTTGTTGACTTCCAACGTCGACTCAATATGTCAACGCTTGCCTATGTAGTGTTTACAAACACAAGCTGCTTACAAACATACATGTTGAATGGCAAATAGTGTTCAACCACTTGTAGGCCGAAAGTTAATCACGATTGGCGTTCACGTATCTGTGAGTAGTAGACACATATTAAAGCGGGTACAGACTGTAAAACAAGTAAAGCAGTTAGATCAAGTCGAACACATTAAGAAGATAAAGCAGGTAGAGAAAGCAGAAGGTTGGAATAAGTAAAGCAGTCTAAAGCAGGTAGAGCAAGGAAAACAAGTAAAGCAGGTAGAGCAAGTGAAACACATTAAGAAGGTAAAGCAGGTAGAGAAAGCAGAAGGTTGGAATAAGTAAAGCAGTCTAAAGCAGGTAGAGCAAGGAAAACAAGTAAAGCAGGTAGAGCAAGTGAAACACATTAAGAAGGTAAAGCAGGTAGAGAAAGCAGAAGGTTGGAATAAGCAAAGCAGTCTAAAGCAGGTAGAGCAAGGAAAACAAGTAAAGCAGGTAGAGCAAGTGAAACACATTAAGAAGGTAAAGCAGGTAGAGAAAGCAGAAGGTTGGAATAAGTAAAGCAGTCTAAAGCAGGTAGAGCAAGGAAAACAAGTAAAGCAGGTAGAGCAAGTGAAACACATTAAGAAGGTAAAGCAGGTAGAGAAAGCAGAAGGTTGGAATAAGTAAAGCAGTCTAAAGCAGGTAGAGCAAGGAAAACAAGTAAAGCAGGTAGAGCAAGTGAAACACATTAAGAAGGTAAAGCAGGTAGAGAAAGCAGAAGGTTGGAATAAGTAAAGCAGTCTAAAGCAGGTAGAGCAAGGAAAACAAGTAAAGCAGGTAGAGCAAGTGAAACACATTAAGAAGGTAAAGCAGGTAGAGAAAGCAGAAGGTTGGAATAAGTAAAGCAGTCTAAAGCAGGTAGAGCAAGGAAAACAAGTAAAGCAGGTAGAGCAAGTGAAACACATTAAGAAGGTAAAGCAGGTAGAGAAAGCAGAAGGTTGGAATAAGTAAAGCAGTCTAAAGCAGGTAGAGCAAGGAAAACAAGTAAAGCAGGTAGAGCAAGTGAAACACATTAAGAAGGTAAAGCAGGTAGAGAAAGCAGAAGGTTGGAATAAGTAAAGCAGTCTAAAGCAGGTAGAGCAAGGAAAACAAGTAAAGCAGGTAGAGCAAGTCGAACACATTAAGAAGGTAAAGCAGGTAGAGAAAGCAGAAGGTTGGAATAAGTAAAGCAGTCTAAAGCAGGTAGAGCAAGGAAAACAAGTAAAGCAGGTAGAGCAAGTGAAACACATTAAGAAGGTAAAGCAGGTAGAGAAAGCAGAAGGTTGGAATAAGTAAAGCAGTCTAAAGCAGGTAGAGCAAGGAAAACAAGTAAAGCAGGTAGAGCAAGAAGAACACATTAAGAAGGTAAAGCAGATAGAGAAAGCAGAAGGTTGGAATAAGTAAAGCAGTCTAAAGCAGGTAGAGCAAG